GTCGGGCCGAAGGAAGGCCGGGCAGGCAAAGCCCCTGGCCGACCGGGGAAGCCAGCGTAGCTGAGCGGAGCTGGCAACGACGTTTGCTGGAAGGGCAGTCCTGCTTGTTTTTTCAGCACGTTTTCTGTGCTATGCCATTTTACTGAATGACTTCCGTGACATGCTGTTTTTTGGCATGCCACAGTAGCCTTGACTCTTAGACTTGGGGCTAAAGCTATCCTCTTTAGCTTAAACGGCGTCAGGTCTGACCTGTAACGTTTCAGTGATAAAAGCTCAGAAAAGTGAAATTATATATAAAGTGGCTTGTATTCTAGGCTCTTGTGTCTGCGGCCCCGAAGTCAACCTCCGACCGCAAATGGGATCAGTGCCTCAAGAAATTGCCAGCGGCAAGTAACCAATGACTTTGGACGGATGACTACAATTGCGCTTTTCGGCATGATTTACGTAATCTTACTTTACAGCGCGTTGTTAATGACGCCTACTCTGTGGTTGATACCATCGCGCGCTCCCACTACCATACATCGGACGAGGCCACTGTCAAGTGCTTCAATAAGTACCAGAGCGACACCAAAGCCGAAGCTGAGTGCAAGAGGGCCGCATTTGAGGCGTTGTACAGCAAAATGAACCAAAAGGCGCAAGAGATCCAAGAGGTCAAGAAGACATTGGACAAAATCAGTGATGACTGCACCGGCGCACAGCTCCCTGACTTGTGGATTCCCGATTGGGCGAGTTGCACGAGCGCATTGACACTGGTAGGTAGAGAGTGACTTCGGACGTATGACTCCAGCTGCTCTTACCGGCATGTAATTGCTAACTCCCGCATCTTACTTAACAGAGCCTCATCCAAAATACAAGGACAACGCTTGACGACGTTCTGAAGACCATCAACTCCGTCAACGCTGACCGTCAGGCCTGCGACGCAAACGCGACAAGCGAGGCTGCTCTCGATGCTTGCCACACTCAGGCCCAGAAAGCAATGTACCGAGGAATTCGTTATGCACAGGTTAAGAGGCTCTGGAAATCATTTAACGAAGTCTCTGCAGATTGCTTTGCCCCATTGCCGTAAGAGCGACGACACTGGCGAGACCGCTCTCGAAGCTTAACGTCATCCTTAACAAGATGTACCTTGGAATTTAAGCAGAGAGAGAAAAGAGGTCGAAATCATCCGGAAACTATATGAACGAGTTTTATTAAATTGCCTCGTCCATGGGTTCGGTTAAATTATTGTTTCACGCACTTGATTGTAATCGACGAAAGTGGATGGATTGAAGACAATAAAATACTAAGTATGCTTCCCGCAAATAAACTACCTCAGTCTTGGTTCATACCTTCCGCACTAAGAACGATCGGACAGTAAGCATGATCCATATTTTGTGGCGGTGACACTCGTCAGGTGTGAAAGTGGACGTGCAGGTGTGAAGAAAGTGTGCCAGGCTTGAAGTCATTGAGCATACGCATTACTTGAATATTACAAGCAACTACTCGAACGAGGGGAGGGGGTACTTGGGTACTTCAGGACAGTCCAGTCTCTAATGGGTCATTCACGAAATACTCCGGCGATACTTTTTTTCTATTAACGGATATTGCGAGAAAATAATTAGAGGTCGATGCGCTGTCTTTTTTCCTGGCATATTTTTTGGCAGTGTGTCACACAGAGGGAGATATCTTAACACCGACTGGCGTTACAAATTAGTAAATATTAGTTACAGCGTAACAAGCAATAGAAAAATTGACCTTGTATTTTTCTCCCATCCGCTGGATGTGGGAAACTTAATCAAGTCTAGGTAACGGCTTTCCACTTGAGTGGCGTGTACGACACATTAGAGGGTGATCTCCGAGATTGACTATTCTTGCTCACATGCTCTAGTAAAGAAATAAATATATAAGGGAAAGTCAACCTGGGCGAAAAGATCACGAGTTAGTGATGCACTTGTGAAAGCAACCATGACTGAGTGTCGTCAACTCCATTATGTTTCTAGGTGTAATGTGGTTCAACCAAAGTTGATGAGTACCTGTAGTTACACTGGCTGACTGCGGAATACTTATAGTTTAAGTGTAATTTCACACTTGCAGATCACTTGCAATTCATCTGCAGAAATGTGTTGTTAAAGTGCACATTTCTGTAGGTAAACTGCACAAAATGTATAGATAAACTATGAAGATTTGGGACGGGCGGCTTTCAAACTGCAGTTTGACTGCCGTCACCCCTACAATCAGTGACCTCAGCTGATACTACAATGATATCCTATGATCTAATCTAATGTTTCATGCACAGTTTAAATTTCTTGCGAAAAGGATTTATCTCTTTCTCTCTCCTTTCTTCGTGCCTATCTCTGTTCGTAATCGTGATTGCCTGTTATTGGCTGAGCGATTAGCGAAGCCCATTACTCCACTGACGGGAAAAGTTTCATTCTGTTTCTGTTTGTTTGTCTGTCCGCACGATAACTCGAGAAAGAATAGGGTGTTCCAGGCAATCTAAAACGGATGTAGGAAAAGAACAAACTCACTGACCTTTCTGTTTCCGTTATGGCTCTGATTGGTCGAGCTATCAGGTGCCTCCGAGGCCTTTCAGGTATGAGAAACTGTCTGTTCAGTTTCGAGCTCCCCTCCATATTTGAGAGGTTAGCATCGGACCAAACTGCCATTGTAGTTTCTCATACTGGGCGGACGGAAATAGATAAATCAGTGAGTTTGTTCTTTTTAACTTCCGTTTTAGATTGCCTGGAACACCCTATTGAGA